ATGCAGCTGACCCAGGTTCAATTCCCAGCATCCCATATAATTCTCTGAGCACCGCCAGGAGTAATTCCTGAGTGCAGAGCCAGGACTAACCCCTGTGCATCACCGGTGCGACCCAAAAAAAAAAAAACTCACGCCACTTTCCCTCAGTCCTGACCACTCTTCTCAGAAAGGCCCCTCTGGTCGACCCTCCTAAGTGACTCAACATGAGCAATATCCCAACATGACCCAATCAAGCAATCCCCAAAGGCAGACAGGGTCCAATCGTTTCTTGAAGTTTTAAATAACTGAAACTTGCTCCAAGCTTACAGGTCAATGCCATCAACCCGAATGGTATGCAGGTCTTTCGTTAACTTGGGAGTTTTTCAAACAGTTCTTTCTGGGATCTGTTTAGCACTTGGCTCTGTCTGGAGCTGGCCTCTCTGCATTTGTTGACTTTAGCTCTGGGAACAATTGTGCATTGACTTTTGCTTTGTTTCTTGGCCAGCAACCTGGCCCGGCAACCGAGCAGAACATAAGGTGCTCAGTCCAGGCTGACCTCCTGACTAAAGTTAGTGCTTATGCCTCAGAAAAAGCTGTTAGGAAGCTCATATTGTGAGTCTCATTGTCCATGTTATTTCCCAACACACAAAGTGAGCCAACATGAGCCCTTATGAGTAACTGATACTGACAATATAAAAATGGGTAAGATAGCTTTCTTTCAAAACCTTTATAGGTTTTGAAGAAAGACATATGTGATGATTTGCAAATAAGGCACACATCATTTAGTGTCATATACTTGGTATTAAATAAATGGCATTAATACCATATGTTCAGGGCTACTGAAGATCACTTTGATGGAGTTCCAAACAGATTATCTTACTTGCCTGTAGCAACCATTTTGCTAGCACATCAAGAGTGAGATTTAATCTTTTCCCCTGAAACAACAACCTTGGGCTCCAATTTAGCAGTTGGAAGAAGTATTTCAACTTCTTTCAATCAAGAAGTCTAAAAAGTATAAAAGTAGAAGTAGAAGTAGAAGTATAAAAAGTATAAAAGTAGAAGTAGAAGTATAAAAAGTATAAAAGTAGAAGTATAAAAAAATAATAGTGCATGAGAGAGAAAGACATTGGTGTTCAAATATTGCTTGTCTTCTGAATATGAAATTTTGCTTTCTGAATTCACTTTTTCTGAAATGCCATTAAATGGCAATTCTTCCAAAATTAAGACTAATAGAAATAAAGTTGCAAACATCTATTAAATTGTACTATCTTATTTTAGATATGCTTATATCTCAAGAACACAATTTAAGTTTATCAAGATTGCCAAAAGAGAGGTTGGAGAGATAGTATAGGGGTAAGGCACTTGTCTTCCATCCAGCCAATCCAGTTCAGCTTCCAGCCACTGCATCTGACCCCTCCATGCACAAGGCCAGGAATGAATGATCCTGAGCAACACCAAGTGTAGCCAAAAAAAAAAAAAAGCTAACAAAATAAAACGTTAAATTTATATGTAAAATTAATTTTTGGCACAATCATATGGAAGATGAATTCTTCATGAGCTGAGTGCCTAAGTTAGAGTACATATCTTGGAAAGTCACTGGTCCTTCATAGACCCAAAAATATGGGTGTTGGGAGATGTTTCATAGTCAGCCGGTGTGGCTCACCCACCCAGCCCTTCAGGGTGATAGATACCTCAGCCAAGAGAGAAGACAAAGCAGCTAAGGAGCCGCTTGCCTCTGCAGCCTGGGTGCAGAACCAGAAATCCTATTTAGAAAGAGGCTGTATGCAATGTGCCCTTGCCAAATCCCTCTGACAGAATAATAGCTTACACAAGCTCCAATACTGCAGTCACAGCACAGGTACACATATATTATTCAATAGCACCTACTACTATTCCACACATAAGTGGAGGCTGCCCTTGAAGTTTTCTCAACCACACTTCATTAAACGACATCAGAACAAAACTTGTCACTAGGAAATGAACATGACCAGGCATCCTTCAACTCTTGGTCTTGATTGGTTAATACCCCATCTGCTGTGAAGCTTTTGGTCCATACAAGTTCATAGTTCATAGGCTAAAGTCATCCAAAATCTTAAAAAGGCACATTCTCAATTTTTCCCACCTTCTTGATCAAATTATATTGAAGTGGTGGCCCTACTGAGTGTCCCTAGTAGAGCATTTCCTTTACCAAGACTTAATCATTGGTCCCTGATAGCAAGGTGAGTGACAGATCTCTTGACAATGGAAACAGGTGATAGCTCAGGGGTCGGGGCATATGACTCCAAGAGCAAGGATCAAGGTTCAATCCTCACTACAAGCCCTGCCAGCTCTGCTAGGCCAAAGTGGTATACTGTGTCTGAACAGTGACCCCTTGCTAAGAGTGGGCCCCTGTGAGAGCACTAGAGGGGAAATCCCCCAAAAACAAAATTCACTGTCACTGTCACTGTCCTCCCATTGTTCATCGATTTGCTCGAGCGGGCCCAGTAACGTCTCCATTGTGACAATTGTTACTGTGTTTGGCATATTGAATACGTCACAGGTAGCTTGCCAGGCTTTGCCATGCAGGCGAGATACTCTTGGTAGCTTGCCGGGCTCTCTGAGAGAGGCGGAGGAATCAAACTCGGGTCGGCCATGTTGGCCGCTTGCAAGGCAAATGCCCTACCACTGTGCTATGAAAATAAAGCAAAAACTCATCATCAGGAGTCCTGAGTTTGGGAAAGAGTTCCACTTTAAGCAGATCTTCCTTCAAAAACAAACAAAAAAAAGAGCTTTTTCTAGATAAAGAAATAATTACGACGTAACTTCTAAGTTCTGTCCATTTACCCAACAATCATGCCTTTGGTTTGCCAATGAATGCCACTTTCTTCTTCACCCAACTCTAACTGCTATAGCTATGCCCTCACTCCAATAAACACTGGGGGCTTAAGCTGATCTCCCTATAAAAGAGACTGGACTGCCACTGAGGGTTTTTCAAAAGTACTTCTATGTGTCCAGTAAAGTAGATTGACAACACTTACTTTGCTCAAGAATCTATGGCAAACTATATATCGTCACTGAAAAATTCGATGAATTCTCACTGATATAAGCATTAAGCAACTTTAACATAAAGTCAGTTTCTAAGACACAAGATAGGTTTAAAAATATCAAGTGATCAACAAATTACTTCTCCATTTACAAGCAAGTTTCCTCCATAAATGAGGGAACTGGAATAGATGATGTCTACAAACCCACTCGGCAACATTTAGTGATTTAGAGGCTTCTAGGTTAAACAGAACAGGTCACGTGGAACCACTGTAACAGGAAAGCCTATAACACAAATCAGAGAGTATAATACAACTCGGTTTACAAAGGCTCAAACTTCCAAAGGAACTGGGAAAGGGGCAATGAAGCCGACTGAAGTTCTGCAATTAGAAAAGATTTCTTTGAACTTGTGTAGCATGACGTGAATTCAGGAAAATACGGATATAAAGAGAAGAGGCAGCAGAGCCTTCTAGACAAAAATAAGTCTAAATGACTTAGCAAAGGAAAATGAACACAAATGTAGGATTAGTTGTTTCCAAAATGATGACCAGAGTGATAGTACGGTGGATAGGGTGCTTGCCTTGCACTTGGCTTATGTGGACTCTATCCCCAGCATCCCATTTGGTCCCCCAAGCTCACCAGGAGTGATCCCTCAGCACACAGCCAGGAGTAAGCCCTGAACATAGCGGGGTGTGGCTCCAAAACAAAAAATCGGTCACCATCTTTTTCTACATTACAAACATGGTAACAGGCTAAAATTCCTATTTAGTCTTTAATTGTTAAGACGTGCTGAAATAGCTTCATCCCTTGTAAGTATATCTTCCTGCATATGCTATTATTAGAACATTATGACATACTGTTGACCATTTTGAGGTGATTCACTATCTTAAGTACTTATAGTCTCCACCTTCTTGAGAAACAAGCCAACATTTTTTTAAATATTAAAAACAAAATATTTTTAATTTTTTTTATTTGGAAGGTGGGGTGAGGCACACCTAACAGTGTTCACGGGCTACTTCTGGCTCTGTACTCAAGGATCACTCCATTCAACTCAAGGTTTCTAAGAAATTCCCTGCCTTTTCTACAATGAAACAGTTTAAAATCCCTCCATAAGAGATGCAATATTTTCCCCATATTGTGTTATGTGAATACTGCTTGCTGTGTTTAGATTGCCAATTTCTGTCTAGTGGTTTTATCTTCAAAATCCCTAAAATAAATAATTCTGTTGCCATTTAAAATAAATAAATACATAAATAAATAAATAGATAAATAAGTAAAGGGTCACTCCCAGCGATACTTGAGATACTTGAGAGCTATTTGCAGTGCTAAGAACCAAACCTGGACTGGCCATAAACAAGGGAAGCAGCTTAGCTCCTGCAATCTTCCCTCTGGCCTCAGCAATGTTTTTAAAAATTAATGATAATCTCTCTCTCTATATATATATATATATCATCTTCAGCAATGACAGAACTAAAACAAAGAAACCGAGACGGATTTCAAATAGATGTCCATATTCCTTTACAAAATATAATCTATAAGAGAAAAGAAATCTCTGCATTTTATCATGTAAAATTTAAATTGAAACTACATTATTCATTTTCACATTAGAAAAATGATGAAAATCTAGTGGACCGAAGAGATAATATTGCAAGTAAGGCACTGTCCTTGCACATAGCTAAACCTGGGTTCAATACTTGACACTGAATATAGTCCCTCAAGCACCGCCAGGAGTGATCCCCTTAGCCTGGGAATGTGGCCCATAATCAAATAAAATAAACAAACAAAAATCAGATAAAGACAGTCACATAAGTCTGTTTCACTTATTGTGACTAATGTTACCAAAATATCTGAATCAATATAGGGCTTACCCTCACTCTTTTGAGGCTTGAGCATGTATACAAGAAAGTTTTCATTTCACAATATCCTTTGGAGTTATCAATGGAGATACTATGGCAAACCATCATTTCTTGCACATTGCTTGTTTTAAAATGCTCACTTACCCTGCATTGTTGCTGACTGCAGTTAAACCCTTCACTCCAGTCTTTAGTAAGGCTCCTATAAGATTCTCTGGAATTCCACACAACCCAAAACCTATAATATATCAAAAAGATAAACATTTTGGGAAAGGGTAATACTTAGGCTGGGAAATGTGTGTGCTACTTTTAACTGAAAAAAGAAAGAAAGAAAAAGAAACTATATTTATTAGATCTACTAATCAAAATGCCAAGAAATGTTATGGCAACTCGATAAATCCAGGGTCATAGAGCAGTATTCAAATGTTTTGTAGCATTAAACAGCACCAGACATCACTGTCAGGACCTCACTTCACATGTGTAAAGTAAGTACAAGCTGTTAATATAACATGTGGCTCTTCCTGAGCTTAACCACTCACCTACTTACCTGTTGTTGCCCTACTTCATAAGTCAACACTTAAACAATTACCTTTTTCAAGAAGAACTGTCATATGTCTCAGTATTTTTTGCAGAAATAGAAGCCAAGATCCAACTTTCATTTATTTATAGAGAATTACTGTTTATTTACAGAGAGAACCCTATAGCCTTTAAAGAATTCCATAATTCTTAGAATTCTTGAAATTGTGAGAATTCTTCAAATGTTATTATGTTCAACATTTTCAATGACTGCTCAGTGAACTTTATAAAACAGCCCTAAAAATAAGTTGTGATTTCTAAATCCAAGAGCTAGAAAGCTAACAACATTTTAAAATCAAGCAATCATGCTGAATGGGTGTGCGGCAGTGATTCTAAAAGACATTCCAAATAGGAAACAATCAGGGGAACTCAAAAACAGTGAGATGCTTCTGTGCTCAGGAGGATTAAAAGGAATGACTAGGTGCAGGCTCAAGAGGACAAACATAACCATTTGAGTTATACAGAATTTCTGAAAATCTAGAGGATCAAAACTACTCAGACAACAACATTTGAAGTTCAACTTAAAAAAAAATACTAGGGAAAAAAAATAAAACAAAGAAAAAGTAAGATACTAAACCTTGCTAAATTTCTGGAAAGAAGACACTGTAATAAAATACATAATATGTATATAATAGTATTAAATGTTGAATAGCAACTAAGTGATAAGTTACAGGCATTTCTTGTTTTATTTTGGGGCCACTCCTAACAGTGCTCAGGGCTCACTCCAGGCTCTGCACTCAGGGCTCACTTCTGGCGATACTCAGACAACCATACATGGTGCCAGGGAATGAACCTGGGTTAGCTGAGTGAAAGGCAAATGTGTCAGCTGCTGGACTATCTCACTGGTGCCAAGGCATTTTTAATGTTTTTAACTTCATTACTGTGATTTCCCTGCTTTGCCAAAAACCCAAGGTTAATGACATTAAAATGGGAAAATGACACCATTACTCACCACCAACCAAGATTGTTGCATTATCAGGGATATCTTTTACAGCCTCCACTGGATCTGTATAAAATTTCGTATGGCGACATGCGCTGGTTGAAAAGTATGAAACACATCCCTAAAATATTAAAAATTTAAAAAAAGTTAAGAGAATAACTACTTGAAGTGTAATTTTAACTTTGCATCGATAGTAAATGATTCGCCTTTATATACAAAAAGGATAATTTCATTTTGAGTAGTTCATTTAATAGTAGAATGGATATATACCCTATAGAATATTACCTGAAGTATTCTATTTGACAAGGGGGAAATTCTGTGACTACCAAAAAAAATGAAAGTAGAGAGCCTATACTCAAAACTCACAGTAACTTTCTCATTAAGAATCAATTTTTGGAGGGGTATGGTGCCGCCAGCAGGTCAATCTGTATCTGTGAGGCGAGTACAACAGCAGCCTGATGGCGCCTTCAGACTTCCAGATATCCCAAAATTGCTGCTGTGCCTTTGGCCAGACCCCAAAAACTTGGGGAAAAGTATACCAAGAAAGTAAACGGCAAAAGTTAGGTATGTGGGAGACACACCCACAAACCACCTCGGGCTCAGCTATTAATTGGAGGCATGGCCTCTCTGGTTCCTGATCACACTGCTTAATGGCCATGATTCCAGTCACTCAGAAACAAATCTCGAAACCCAACAACTTTTGGCAAAAATATGTCCAGTCCCTGCAGTAGGTTACCGGCGCCAGGCCACCCCTGGTGGGAATAGGTTTCGTGCCTTGGCCTGTCCCCCTGATAGCCCAGTGGTCACCATCCTCCAGAGGCCACTGGACAGTCAGGTTGGACCTGAGGTGACGAGACACGCGGGGCCTCTCGGGGTGGGGGTGGAGCCAGCACTTTCCTCCCCATCCCAATGAGACCCCAAGTCACTGCCCACAAACGGCCTCTCTGGCTCCTGATCATGCTGCTCAATGGCCATGATCCCAGAGACTCAGAAACAAATCTGTCCCCTGAGCACAGCCAGGGGTAATTCCTGAATGCAGAGCCAGGAGTAACCCCTGTGCATCGCCGGGTGTGACCCAAAAAGCAAATAAAAATAAAAATAATATATAAAAAACTTGAAGCTTATGCATGCTGTAAAACAGGTCACCTACAGGTAAGGCATGGCTAGAATTACCAAAGTGTCCGCATGGATGTATCTAGCAAGTACTGGTGACCACTTACTCGATACACCAGTGCCTCTGTACACTCACAATATGGACAGAACAAAGTAGCGACCTTCCAGGCTACACAGTCAGCACCTCACCCTCTGGCGTCATTATACCTTCAACTGAAAGGTAAAGAGAAGAATGGCACCTGATTGCTGACAATGCTGTCACTTTCACAAACTGACAATGACAGAGCCGAGAATTTCACTCTAACCTTCATAAGCTCTCATCCAGACTTAGACTGAAGAGGGTGTGGAGGAATTCACTGGCATCTGTGAGTTTCTAGCACTCTATTCTTCCTCTAAAACAATCCCTCTCATAACAAAAAGGGTAAATTGGCACGGGGGAGGGGACTATTTCAGAGAACCCTAAAAGTCAAATGAGATCTGTCAGGAGGGCAGTTATACAACTGCTTCTTGTCCCTTTCAATTTCAAACTGCTCAAGGTCGTGGAAGCGGAGGTATACCCTGGCACACGGCCCAAGCGAGGGAGAAATATGGAAGCAGAGGGAGAGGGAAGGGCATGAACGGCAGGCAGCTTCCTGGTCTGTCCTACACGCTAAATAGCATACTTATTGGGACCTGTTTTAAACTCACTTACGCACACAAATATATTTTAATCTTGGAAATGAGAAGTTTGAGCACTTGGGCTGGAGAGATAGCAGAAGGATGAAGATACTTGCCTTGAATTGCAGCCAGCCCAGGTTAGATCACCAGCATGAGACACCCCCAGGAGTGATCCCAGGCTCTGTGCTCAGGGATCACTCCTGGTGGTGCTTGGGGAACTATATATAGAGCCAGAAATCAATCCAGGTTGGTCAGGGGCAAGGCAGCTGCCTTAACAGCTGTCCTATTTCTCCAGTCCCACATAGCAAAGTTTTATGAGTTCCTTATAATTTTATGAGTTTCTAACTGCTGTCGTTATCTCCACTTAGGATGAAGATGTCATTATATAGTATGCCTTGAACCTATAGAGCGAAGTAATTCCATTAGAGCTCAGTAAAACTGGGGAAAGATACAAAACATGGAAAAATATAAATGCAAATTTAATCTTTCTCCTCCCGCACCCCATCTCCCACCCCCGCTTCTCATCAAAAAAGGAAAGCATTAGCAGAAGAGGAGGAATGAAAGAACTGGTCTGTATCAAAATGGACTGGGGAGCAAGAGGTCACCCTGAATTATTTCTCCATAGACTGAGAAACACAAATTCTATGAAAAATCAGAAGAAAACTCATCTCTCCTATAGACCCAAAGTTTTGGACTCCAGAGGTGAAACAAAAGCACAGAGGTACAGACTTGGCCAGGAATTCCAGCACTGTCCTTCAACTGGTGTTTTCTAGAATCAGTAACTCTTCATTACAAACAACAAAAATTACTGAGGAACCAGAGAGAGAGTCCAACAGGAAAGGCGCTTGCCTAGCATGCGGCCCAGCTGGGCATCGTCCCCAGCACCACAGCACTCCAGGAGTGATCCTTGAGCACAGATCCAGAACTGATCCCTCAGCATCCCTGTCTGGTGTGCCTCAAAAAGACAAACAAAAAAACCACTGAGGCTGTCTCCATATCCCGAAAAATATTTTTCAGAAGTACTCTGGAAAAGAACAGCGCATTGCACACTTACCCCAATAATCAAAATTTTAAAAAGCATGAAACTGACACAGTACCAGGGAATATTGAAGAACCGACAGGCACTCAATTTGGGGATTGGTTTTTGTGTCTATTTTTTCCCATTGTTTATGCATGTAGTACCCGCATTTGCTGACATCTGTTAAATCAGCCATGCTTATCTATTGACTGAGAAACAAATGTAGCATAACAAGGACGCACTCCAGTAATCTTAGTGTGTGTCAAAATACCTTTGTTTTACGGTCCAGCTACAAGTCTAAGAACCTGAGAAAATTAAATGTCCAAGATTCCCTCAGACTATTTCAAAAGGATATTAATAGTTTCCCAGAGGTAAGCATGGGGATTAAATAATGACAGACGCAGAAACACTTAGCCTGTCCCTGGGCTACAGATTCCCAATGCACCTTAGCTTCCTTCCGACAATAAAACCGTTTCTCCACTCCCTAGGGACGCAGTTAAGATTAACTTCCCATAAGCAGGAGTTAAAATTTTCATTTTAAACCTCCCCCAGTTCGGGGCCCCAAGCCCCACCCCACAATCACACAAATGGATAAATAATTTTTTTTAACATGCCCCAGCTGCACCAAATTAATCCAGGTAGTATTTGTTTTCAACAAATAAATCCGTGTTTGTTTTAACATGTTTATTTTACTTACAATAAAGCCAGCCTAAGTAGTCAAAGAAAGCTGGCCAATCCAGCATGCAGTGGAGCTAAGAGGAAGCTGAAGGCCTGAAATATGTGGCACCCCAATAATTAACTAGGATCTTCCATTCCATAGGGCAGAGCAATAGCACAGCAGGCAGGGCATTTGCCTTGCACGTGGCCGACCCAGGTTCAATTCCTCTGTCCCTCTCGGAGAGCCTGGCAAGCTACTGAGAGTATCCCGCCCACACAGCAGAGCCTGGCAAGCTCCCCATGGCGTATCCGATATGCCAAAAACAGTAACAAGTCTCACAATGGAGACATTACTGGTGCCCACTCGAGCAAATCGATGAAGGATGGGAGGACAGTGCTAGAGTGCTTCCATTCCTGTCATCCAGGAAGCTGCCACACTGGGAGGAAGCAGCACTGAAGGGAAGCCTTTGGGATTTGTTTTTTTTTTTTGGTGGGGGAGGGGGTTGATTTGTTTTGGAAGCCACAGCTAGCAATGGGCAGGGCGGCTCACTCCTGGCTCTGCCCTCAGGTATCACTCCTGGTGGTGCCTACAAGACCATTTGGGATAGCAGCGGGGATCGAACCTGGGTTAGTTGATTCATGCAAGGTAAGCAACTTATGGGGATACAACGGCTCCAGCCCAGGGTTCATTGTTTTAGAAAGCTCTTTGCCCACTCTATCTCACCAATATCCCTGCTTCAGGGAGTCAAAGAGAGTCACAAAGCATCTTCTGAGTGAGGAATGAAGATGGAAGAAAGCAGTCTCCAGTAACACCTGCTTTCTTCACCTTACAAAACCAAATTCAAACAGCAGCTCTCACCAGCTTATAAAGTGTCCTGTACCTTCTAATATCCCTCAAAGACAAAACGAGTGATGTGAAAAGACCCCAGCACCATCTGCTACACAAATACAGCTGTCAAGTGCAGAGGCCACTTAAGAATGAGGAGAGATGGAGTGCACAGCTTGGACAACGATTTATTCCCGGGAAACAATTTTCCCCTGAAGGTCTTCCTTGACAATCATCTAATTTATTGCAGGTGCTTTTCCCCATCTTCAGCTTCTGCAAAATCCCATTTTATTGTGTCTACGAGTTTCTGCTATTACCATCAGGAGAGAGAAATAATGGTCAGATAATGAAGTGTCAGAAATCTTCAAAATCAAATTAACTGCCTGCTACTTCTTTCTCTCACACCCCTCTTCTACCTCATTTTTGTCCTCTACTCTTAAATTCTTACACCTACCCTCTGAGGTCTGTTTCCACCTCCACTGTTGGATCTAAATTTTATCTCATCGCTTCCGAATTCAGTATCTTTCATGCAAACCACTTCTATCAGTATTTCTTAAGAGATAAGATAAGTTAGATAAGTCTTCTTCCCCATAATCCAACACTCTGGAACAAAAAAAAGTTTACTCAAAAGACCTTCCAGGGAAAATCCACCAATCATACTTTTGAAAGGTTTCTTTAATCTTAATGATATGTCCCTGGACGCCCACTCCCTTGCCCCCCTCTAGTTATATAAATCCGGACACAGGTAGGCACTGTTCATTTCCGTGTCAAAGTTTAATAAAGTCGGTGGAGAGAGGAGCAACCACATAAACGAAAGGTGAAGAGAACAGAGGCGTTAAACAGAAAAGGGTAGTTACAGTTTACCTTGGAGGAATTCAGTGCGTTAACTCTGCCAAGAGGAGGCGGCTGTAAGTGATTAAATGTTTTAGGTGCTGAGCACTGGACGGGTGCCTAGTGGCGGTGGATTACTCATCCCAAACTACACACTGCCAGTTTTGCACTTGCCATGAAGACACCGCAAGGGCTCAGAGAGCTACCGACAGGAGGCAGTACTCCACAGCCGCAGCACAGATTGCTTTGGGTTTGCTTTATGTTTAGTTTTTGAGATTCTGTAGTTAACAGTACTGTTAATAATGGTTTCTCACACACATAATTCCAAAATCACACCCACCGCCAGTGTGCTCACTTCCCTCCCCCCGGTGACCCCCAACACCCCTCCCTTCCACTACCTCCACCCCCTCATGTGCGTCAACACATATTTCCTAATGCCCACACTGGAGGATGCCTAGCTAAAAGATTGGAGGCCAACAAGCAACAACTGGTAGGGCAGAAAGCTTGAAGGGTCTGCCAGGGTTTTTAAAACCCCAGCGACTGTATCCTGGAAGTGGAAGAGTTGAGTGCGACTGATGTGAAAATGCTCAGTGTGTTCAGAGACACAGGGTGAATCTCGCAGGGAGCAGCTCATGAAGATCACAAGGTGACATGGAGGCAGGTTGTTTTATGAGGGGGGGGAATCATTTTCCACAGTGAACGAAAAATACTATTCAATGCTCTCTCTGATCTAGTCAGGAGGAATATACCTTCAGGCAGTTCGCTTACATCTACATTCATGCCAGAGGCTCTGAAAGAGCAGCCCTTAGGGCTGGAGTGATGGTACAGTGGGTAGAATGCTTGCCAGGGTTCGATGCCCTGCACCCCATATGGTCCTTGAGTCCCATCAAGAATTGGGGGCTGGAGGAGGCTGGAGCGATAGCACAGCGGGTAGGGCATTTGCCTTGCACGTGCCTCCTCGACCCGGGTTCGATCCCCAGCATCCCATATGGTCCCCTGAGCACCGCCAGGAGTAATTCCTGAGTGCAGAGCCAGGAGTAACCTCTGTGCATTGCCAGGTATGATCCAAAAAGAAAAAAAAAATGATCTCTAGCACAAGAGCCAGAAGAGGAAGGAAGGAAGGAAGGAAGGAAGGAAGGAAGGAAGGGAGGGAGGGAGGGAGGGAGGGAGGGAGGACATTCTGTACAGGAGATTTCTTCAGTGCACCTAGGGGCTGCTGATGTAAGTACAAGGCAATCAGGAGAAAACACAGCAGCTACTTCTCATGGTGGAAGTGGACAGAGCAAGAGCCAGGAGACACTGAGAACTGCAGAGCCTTCAGGTCCTGCAAATACAAGTGAGAGGGAGAGTACAAAGGGGGACGGACCACAGAGTACCATCTATTGGTACTGGTGTAAAAGCTACTACCTCAGTGTCTATTCCAGCCTCCAATAGTACTTCATTAGAAAGAAGTTCCAGAATAGCTTCCCTCTGGTTATGTGAAGAGTTTTAGAATAAAAATGGAAAAGAGCAGCGGCAAAATGAGCATGTCAGTGAAATAAGCAACAGTGAAAAGCATGTGGCTTTTGATAAACAGTGAAATCAAATCTCCAGGGTTGGAGAGATGGTATAAGGGTTAAGGCGTGTGCCAGTGTGTGGGCTGCTCCCAGCACCACATGGTTGCCCCTACACCCTCAGCAACCAGGTGTGACCCTTTAAAAAACCTAAAATAAATAAAGCCTCCAAGTAGGCACATTCATGTTTGAGAGCCTTGCCTGGAGCAAACCCACCAAATTCCTCTCTCTTTTGACCCACTATCTCAAGACTTAAAACTTCAATCTGCCCACAGATTCTCTTATCCATCTATTTATCATGTTTTGAGTGTGCTAGGCAGGGAGAGAGAGAGAGAGAGAGAGAGAGAGAGAGAGAGAGAGAGAGAGAGAGAGAGAGAGCACGCAACCTCAGGGAAACTTGCATTTTTAGTTGAGAAGGAAAGGTGCATATTTGAAAAGGAAAGGAGAGCTCAAGTGTCCAAGCTTAATAAAAGTAGGAGCGGAGAAGTAAAGCAAACAGCAAGGGAGCTAAATGCCACGCCAACAGGTACACTAGACAGCAATGACATTCAAACCTGAACAGCAAGTACGAACACTGATAAGAACTTTCTGTGAGATACAGCTAGACCCGGAATTTGTAGACTAGCCACCTAAGAAGTTTGCCCAGCTTCATAAGTGGTTTCACGACATAAACGAGGGTGAGAAAATGCATGAAGTGCATACACTGGGGCGTCTAAGTCACTGTGGAAAGTTGAGAAAGTTGTTGACCTTGACCTAGGTGGGCCCAAGAGTACTGCCCTGTCCTGATGTGCGTTGCTTTCACATTCACAGGGCAACGTGACTGAAGGTCAGGTTGCCTTCCAAGCCTGCTTTACAGAGCCCTCGCGGGGAGCCACGCGCTTCTTCCTACCAGGCATCTGTGAGTCAAACGGTCCAGTCTGAAATCATCGCCCGGCCCTTGGCTAAGGAAAGGGGCTCGGCGGACCCTGGATTTGACTGCCCTTGGAGAAGGATGATGGAATGAGAGAAGAGCTCCAAGGAGGAGCAGGAGTTAGTTCCCTTTGCAAAAGTTCGCGTGCCATTCTGCGGTGCGCTTACGAAGTAAATCAATCAAATAAATTAAAAAAAAAAAAAAAAAACCTCCCCACGCCCGCGCCAGGAAGGTGCTCCCGCCGTCCCGGGGGCAGCCGAGGTGAGCCAGCCTCCTGGGACTGAGCGCTGAGCTTCTGGTCCAGGACTCGACTCCAAGGCTGGGACGCGGCCGCGGCGAGCCTGGCCGTCCCGGGAGGGTGTGAGCGCGCGCGGGGCCGGATGCCCGATGCCCGATGCCCGATGCCCATCCGGCAGCACGCGCCGCGAGGGTGCCCCCTGAAGCCCCGCGCCGCAGGGGTGGCGGTAACCCGCTCCGTCCCGGGTGTGCCCCGAGGGAGCGCTGCTGCAGCCCGGGCTACCCCCCTCCCCGGCGCCGCGGGCCGCCGCTGCCGTGTAGGGGAGAGCGGAGGGGGGACGCCGCCTCCCCCTCGCGGCCGCGCCCCGCATCCGCCCCCTTGGCGCCGAGCTCGCGCCCCTCCGGAATGAACCCTGCAGGGCCGGGGTGGGGTGGGGGTGCTGGGGCTCCAGCGCCGAGCTCCAGAGCTCCCCCCACCCCACCGCTCACCCCTGCAGCCTGCAGCCTGCCGCGACTGGCGCGTCGCCCCCCGCACACACAACCACCACCCCCACCACCACCACGAACGCGCGTCCCGTTCGGACTCCGGAGCCCCAGAAGTGGCGGGGCAGGGGAGAGGGCGCGAGGGGTCCCGGGGGCGGGGCGGGCGGGGGAGCCCGGAGGCCCCGGGAAGCGCGTTACCTGCGAGCGGGCGACGAGGCGCGGGCAGGACACGAGTCGTCCGAGCGCCGCCATGTTCGCGCCTCGCGGGTCTGCGGCGGGCGCGCGACTGTCCGGGAGTTGGTGCCGGGGCGCCGCGTCCCCGCCCCGCGGGAGGAGGGAGGGGAGGAGGGCGCGCGGCGGGCGGGCTGGAGGCTCGTCCGCGCCGCCCGTGACGTCCGCGCCTCGCGCTCGCCTCGCCCCCGCCCGCCCGCCCGCGCTGCAGCTCCCCGGGGGCCCCAGTGTGTGTGGCCCAGTCGGGACCCCAAGCGCGGCGCCCGGGCTTTGGCTGGGGAGCAGCGCGTGCTGCCTCCCCCCTCACCCCCATCCCCAAGTTCACGAGTGGAGTCTGGACCTCGTATTCTGCTGCCCCTCCAAACTCAGGCGGTGTTTGGAGGCACAGTGTCTGGCAGGTGTGACGGTGTACACACACACGCACAGACACACATGCACACACAGACACACACACACACACACACATACACGCGCGCTTGCGCTTTGGAGTCTCCTACCGTCCCTCACCCGCACCTGGACAGTGTCCCCGTTTCCTTTTGTCCCCTTTCCGTTTCTCGGTCGCCTCGCTCGGGAATGTGAGGGTTGCTCTAACCACAGGACTCTGTCTCAGACATCTGTTGCGGTTAAAAGAGAGAAAGAGGCAGAGACAGAGAGATAGAAGGACAGCGCCTGCCCTACTTAGAGGCGGGCAGGGGATGGGGGTGGGGGAGGGGTGATGGAAGGGAACCTGGAGACACGGGTGCTGGGAAATGTACACTGGTGGAGTGATTCATGGGTGTTGGAACACTGTATGACTGACACCTAATCGTGAAACGGTTTTCTAAGGATCTATCTCACAGTAACTCAATAAATAAGCAAATAAATAAAATCAGGGGGAGGGGGGCCGGGGGGAGACAGTTGTGGTGAAGACCCGGGTATAACTCCCAGCATTCTACATGGTCCCCCAGGGCACCGCCAGTAGGGATCCCTGAGTGCTGAGTCAGGAGTAAGTCCTGAGTACCCCCTTCTGTGGAAGAAAGAGAAAGAGAAATTACTTACTTAGTAGGTGCAAATTGAAAAGTGTGTGTTTCTCTGATGGACCTTAAACATGTGATGTTCCTGTCTAAACCTCAGTGTCCTCATCTGCACATTAGGATTGCCCTAATCCCAGAACCAAGTTAGGTTCCTAAGAGATGGTTCATGGAAAGGTGGTGACCTCATCTTCCCATCAGCCCCTTCAAGGGATGAGCGAAGGCTTTGATAGAATTCCATATGTATTTAGCTGAAGTGAAGGACCCAGTGAAACGCAATAAAAATTTGAGTAAGGGATGACCACGTCTGAGCACTATTTCTGTTTTGAAGGAAGAGAAGCTAACAAATGAATCTTAGCTTCCTAAGAAGTATCCCAAGGCAATGAAAAGTCCTGGCCCACTTTAAACCCGTCCACAGATGCTCATTTCCTCCATGGCACTCTTTTATCTTGAACTATTCTGTTTTACTTATGAATATTGCCATTTTTTAATCAATGTCCTTGAAGAAACAATCCAAATCAACACTGTCCTATTACATATGAAAAGATTAATTTAGTACTATGTTCTGTATTTACTGCACATTATAAGGAGTTGGAGTAAGACAGTTATCAGAACTCAAGTCCCATTACTAGTCAGAATTTAGCAGTTAACATCTGCTATACTGTGGTTTACAGATGTGATAAAGCTAACATTCACAATTGGGTCTGCTTTTCCACTTTTGCCCTTCCAGAGGGCAAAGGAAATGGAAACGGCTTTGGAAACTTTGTCTTAGTTGTCATATGACTCTTCTTGGCTGGTCTCACCCTTTTTGCTCCTGACTGAGGAAAAGACACATTTTAAGTCTTGTTCTCTGTACAATTGAAAAAAAAATCAGTCTCATTATAGTCAAAACACAATACTAGTATATTTATCATTCTATTAATTTTGTTTTATAATTCTTTAAGTAGTATATTCATTGAGCAAATTGCAAACAAAGTTCTGTGCAGGCTTCTGTTCTGGTTCCACAAAGGCATATCCTAACTTGTGGAAAGATCTATTTTTATTACTAAATATATAATAATCTATTTGAATGAGCTAATAGAGTTCCCCTTGCTCTTAAGGGTAGTTTGTGGCAATGCATTCTGGAAACTTCTGTGTAATCTTGATGAGCCTTACATCCACACTTCTAGAAATTGGGAGAAAGGAATTCAACACTTTTATACAAAAGGTTTAGGCAATGAAATTTTAACATTTTTATTTGTTATCCCCTTTTAGCCAAGGGATGTGGACAATGTATCTGAATTAGATTGCAAATTAAATACCTTTGTCTACTTGAGGAAAATTTTTGTTTTGTATTTGGAACATACCCAGTAGTGCTCAGGGGATCATCCTGGTGAGTCCCAGGGAACCACACGTGATGCTGGGAATTGAGCCCAGGTCAGCCATGTGCAAGGCTGATCTTATCTTTTACACTGTCTCTTGGGCTCCTGCTTGAGGAATTTTTATTTACGTTCTCCTTCACTTGATGCATTGATACAGGCCCTCAATTACAACATCCTGCCCTTTGAGTTAGTAATGACAATCTTGGGGTCCTTCAACGACTTGTTTTTTAAATGTTGTTTGACTGGTTTAACAAGTAATTTTAGTTTCTAACTAAATCCCTTAAGTCAACTTTTTATATGAATTCATGCTTCTTTTTTTTTTTTCCACAATGGCCCTTTTTAGGAAAGCAGTCAAGTAGATTGGCAATGAAAGTCAGGAAGTCATGAAAACCAAGAAATGTTTGGAAACCGTTCTGTCACTAGTGCAAGGCTCAAGACTGATGATTATTACAACTAAAAGCCTAAGTTTAGGACCCATCAAGAGGGCACATGCTTTGCATGCCCGGGAAGTCGCGTGACTCCTGAGCCCAGATCCAAGCGAAGTGCCTAAGCACATCACCCCAGGGAAAAAAATTCACTAGAAATAGTGGTCTTTTTTTTTAATGTAGGAATACTGTTATTTATTCAGACACTGATTAAGCTGACTGAATTGTGCATGAACTCCATCTTACTTTCTTTTTCCATTTTTCATAATTTTATTTATTGAATCATCGTGGAACAGTCACAAAACTTTTGGGTTTAAGTCTCGGTCATACAATGAAACACCCGTCCTTTCACCAGTGCCCACTATCCACCACCAAAATCCCCATCCCACACCATCCCCCTACCTGTAGGCAGATGATTTCCAAATTATTCTCTCAATACTTTGATTACACTCAACATTTCGACACCACACCCACCATTATAGAAATAGTGGTCTTAATAAAACAGAACACCTCCATAATTCAAAGTCCTTTTCCTTTTCTTGAAAACACTCTAGACTCTTTGTTTTTGGTTTTGGGCCACACCTGACTGTGTCAGAGCTTACTCCTGATTCTGTAGTTAGGGATCACTCCTGGCAGACCTCCAGGGAACTGGGTATCAAACCCAAGTTGGCGGTGTGAGTGCAAGGCAAGCGGCTTATCAGCTGTACTGTCACTTCAGGCCCCAGTTTTGTAGATTCTTAACTGTGGTAGAGACTTGGGAATGCTGGGGAAAGTCTTCTTTCTTAGGCATTGCAAAATCAGGTTGGGTGTTTCCTTCTGGAGTTACTGCACATTCTACCTCTGGGCACACAATTTCTTCCTTTACGGGAATCTCTTCTCATATTTCCTAAATAAAATAATGTTATTACATTTGTCATTATTACCTGAAATTCCTTTATGCTTGAGTGGACAAAGGACCTAAATGGGTGAAAATTGGGATTCACTTTCTGTCCCTGCAAAGAGCTTAACCTCAGCTCAGTTTAGAACTGCCCCAACCCTGAAAATGCATGGGATAGAAATTGGCTCCCATGCCACATAGACCAAATGGGTCACAAGTGTCACCACATGACAGCTGCTTAGTTTTGCTGGCAACATGCAAGAGCTGGGACAGACTTACGATCCTGACATACTCCCCCACTTTGAGAGTTTTAGATGCCAATTTTACATACAAACTTCAAGAACCCACCTAGACTACCAGTTTCACATAACAATTGGATCAGGCTCAATTCCTGCCAATGAAAATAAAAATTTGGTAAGCCGCCAAGGAGACTTTAAGGAGAAAAAACACACCAAAATGATGCAACATACATTCAAGTCTGATCATATTTCTTTTGCTTAAAACCTCTCAGTGCTTTCCCCCACTGCTTTTTTTTTCCCTTTATTTTATTTTTTTTTTTTACAGTTGTAGATTTACAATTTTTTGTGCTTGGGTTTCAATAATACAATGATCAGAGACCCATCCCTCCACCAGTGCCCATTTTCCACCACCATGGATAATATCCCTCCCACCCCCAACTCCCCATCCCCCCTGTCCCTGTGGCAGGGCAATCCCCTGTGTTCTCTCTCTCCTTTTGGGTGTTGTGGTCTGCAAAAGAGGCATTGAGTGGCAAACATGTTCAGTCCATAGTCTACTTTCGACATGCATCTCCCCTCCTGGGAGGATCCTCCAAACATCCTTTATTTGGTGCTCCCTTCTCTATCTGAACTGCCCTTTCCTCTAGGATACCCGGCTGGCCTCTAAGTTATGGAGTAATCCTCCTGGTGCTGATCTCAGCTATTCTTGGGTATTAATCTCATACTTTGTTACTTTATATCCCCCAGATGAATGCAATCTTTCTATGTCTATCCCTCTCTTTCTGACTCATTTCGCTTAGCATGATACTTTCCATATTGTACCACTTGTATGTAAATTTCATGACTTCATCTTTTCTAACAGCTACATAGTACTCCATTGTGTAGATGTACCAAAGTTTCTTTAACCAGTCATCTGTTCGTGGGCATTCAGGTTTCTTCCAGTTTCTGGCTATTGTAAAGAGTGCTGCAATGAACAAACAAGTGCAGATGTCACTTCGACTATACATTTTTGCCTCTCTGGGATATATTCCCAGGAGTGGTATTCTGGGTCAAATAGGAGCTCAATTTCTAATTTTTTGAGAATCATCCATACTGTTTTCCAGAAGGGCTGAACCAGTGGACATTCCCACCAACAGTGTAGGAGTGTCCCTTTCTCGCCACATCCACGCCAGCATC